TACTTTATCTCCAGTGTCCATAACAATTTTTTAAGAATTATTTTGTTTATTTATTTATTTATTTATTCATTTATTTCATTTTTAAAAATTTTGACCAGAGAGGGACAGAGCAAGAGAGAAGGAGAGAGTGGGAAAGTGAGAGAGCAAGCCTCCAGGTCCAGGACTTGAACCGTGGTCGGCCATGTGGGAGTCCAGCGTCCTTAACCACCATGCCACCTGCCGGCCCCAAACAATTTTTAATGCTTGTATGTCCTCCAGTCTTTCAGTCTCTGCCATAGAGTGCGGACAGTCGGACAGTCGGTGTATGTTAAGTGGAGGCATACAATGTCTCTTTTTCATAGCCTAACTGCTTCACTCAGCAATCTTCCATATTTGTCCACTTGTCAAATTCCAAGGCCTGCTGTTTCTTATAGCTGAGTAGTATTCCATGGAGTATATGAGCCAAACTTTTTCAATTCATTCATGTGTTTGTGGACATTTGGGTGGGTTCCATGTCTTAGCAATTGTGAATAATGCTGCAATGACTATAGATGTGCAAGTGTTTTTCTGACTGAGTGTTCTCCTGTCCTTTGGGTAGATCCCCAGAAGTGGAATTGCTGGATCATATGGTAGTTCCATTTGAAGGTCTTTGAGGAACCTCTATTTTGTTCTCCACAGTGCCTGGACTAATTTACATTCCCACCAACAGTGTAGGAGTGTTCCCCTTTCACCACATCCCCTCCAGCACTTATCATTTTTTTTTTTCACCATTCTGACTGTGGTGAGGTGGTATCTCACTGTGGTTTTGATCTGCATCTCTCTTATGATGAGGGATGTTGAGCATTTCTTCATATGTTTTTTGGCTGTTCATATGTCTTTCTTAGAGAGTTGTTTGTTTAGCTCATTTTCCCATCTTTTAATTGGGTTAATCTTTTTCTTCTGGGTAAGCTGCTTGAATTCCCTGTCACCATTCTGACTGTGGTGAGGTGGTATCTCACTGTGGTTTTGATCTGCATCTCTCTTATGATGAGGGATGTTGAGCATTTCTTCATATGTTTTTTGGCTGTTCATATGTCTTTCTTAGAGAGTTGTTTGTTTAGCTCATTTTCCCATCTTTTAATTGGGTTAATCTTTTTCTTCTGGGTAAGCTGCTTGAATTCCCTGTGTATTCTGGTTATCAGTTCCTTATTTGAGGTACATTTAAAAAAATTCTCTCCCATTCTGAGGGTTCTCAACTCACACTAATTACAGTATCTTTTGTTGTGCACTGCCTGGTGTGTTTTAAGTTGTCGGGTCTGGTACTTAAACCATGGTCAACTACATGGGAGTCTGGCCACATAACCATTATGCCATCTGATAGACTCTCTTTTTAAAAATAATAATTTATTTAATGTTACTTATTATTATTATTATTATTTTAATCTGCTACAGAGCATGCACACTGAGAGAAAGAGAGAAAGACACCAGGTCTAGGAGTCAACCACAGTCAATTATCCGGGAGTCCAGCGCGGCCCAGGATTCGAACCACAGTTTATTATGTGGGAGTCCAGCGCACCAATCACCACGCCACCTACTGGCCCAGGTACACTCAACATTCTATAGTTAGCAACTACTCTGATAGATGCTGGTCACATTCAGTAGTGACAAACCAGTTTGGAGCACGCACAGACCAGCCAGTCTTAGCAGCATGAACTTCCTCTGGGCGGACCCTGCAAAGGGAAGCGGGAGGTGTGTCCAGGAACTACAACTCCCACAAGGCATTGGGCGGAGTACCAGTCTTTCCGGCCTGGGCTTTTTCCGGTCTCTTGGATGCTGACGTTCCCTTCCGGTCTAGGTGGCCCCTGAAAGGCGTTTGGGATGTGCACGGTGAGTCCCGAGGCTTAGAGGGTCGAGCAGGAGGGGACAGTGTGGTGTCCGTACATCACCCGGCGGCCAGGCTGAGTGCGGGGAGGCGAGAGGGCGCGCGGGCGGGAGGACGTGTAACCTCGACCAGAAGCGGCGAGGCGGACTGCGCAGTCCTGAGGACCTAGAAGGGAGGTCAGGGGTGAGATGGAGCAGTGGGAGGTGGGATGCCGGGATGTGGGGAGGACCCTGCCAGCGAGTGGTGTGATCCCAGTGGCTCCGACCCAGGAGGGGAGCTGAAGCGGGGCTGCAGGCGTGGGCGGCTCCTGCGGGGAAAGCTAGAGGCTGCTGCAGGCCGGAGATGGCCGAACCGGCACCGGAGGAAAGCCCTGTTCTAGCCACGTGGTAACCTCTCGGGAGACTCCACCAGCTGTGAGCACCCCGGACCTCCGACAGGATATGCTAGTGCGAGGAACGGTTTTCCTCGTACTGCAGATGGAGGTGGCAGGAGTGTCTGGTGAGTGGGGCAGTGCTGGTGGCGTGTGGACTGCTTCTGCGCAAGGCTCTGCTGCCATGATAGGGTCAAAGGAGCTTTGATTGACATGTGAGGATGGGCTGCCAGGAGGATGCTGGTGATTTTCTACATGCTTATTTGGAATGTTCACTTTGGGTTTTCTCCCTCTTCCCCCTCCCCCAAAGATGAGGCTGCTGGCATTTGCGGCGTTGGCTCTGCTTGCTGTCACGCAGGCGGAGGAAGGAGCCAGGCTTTTGGCCTCAAAGTCACTATTGAACAGATATGCCGTGGAGGGGCGAGACCTGACCTTACAGTACAACATCTACAATGTTGGCTCAAGGTAAGGAGGCCCTGGAGTTACAGAGTAGACCCTCTTCTGGATTCTTAGTTCTCAGATGGAAAGAAAGAACACCTTGGTGGTAGTTATTTCTCCTTTGGAGACCTCTGGCACGGCGTATCATGAGTGAGTGAGTTTAAGCCACCATGCCCAGGACTCGAACTGCGGTCGACTACGTGGGAGTCCAGCAACATAGCCATTACGCCAACTGCTGGTCCCAATAAAATAATTCTTTTTTTTTTTTTTTTAAAAGAAAAGCAGAACTTTGAAAGCTGTAAGTCACATAGTAATTTGGGTCACACCTTGAGTCCCCAGTCCAAAAATTTAAAGTATTCCAAAATCCAAAACTTCTTCAGCACAGGAGGAAAATTCCAGATGACCTCATAGGGTGGGTTATGGTCAAAATGCTGTAATACAAAAATACTGTATAAAGGGACCAGCAGGTGGCTTGATGGTTAAGGCGCTGGACACTCCCACATGGCCAACCATGGTTCAAGTCCTGGACCTGGTGGCTTGCTTTCTCACTTTCTCTCTTCTCTCTCTTTCTCTGTCTCTCTCTGATCAAATTAAATGAATGAATAAATAAAGTTAAATAAATAATTCTTTTAAAAAGATACTGTATAAAGTTACCTTCAGGTTATGCATCTAAGGCATCTAAGAAGACTTCAGTTCCATTGCCAAAATACTTTATTTATATGCAATATTCCAAAATCCAAAATACTTCTGGTATCAAGCATTTTGGATAAGGGACACTCAACCTGTATTACTGGATCAACTTTTGAAACAGGAGAACTTTCTTCCTTTTGGGGGGGCTGGAAGAATTTCAGAGTAAGGAGGAAGCAAGAATTGTGGAACAAGAAGGGGGAGATGACCCAAGTTAATATGTGACTTACAGCTCTCTTTCAAAGTTCTGCTTTTTTTTTTAAAGAATTATTTTATTGGGACCAGTAGTTAGCGTAATGGCTATGTTGCTGGACTCCCATGTAGTCGACCACAGTTTGAGTCCCGGACCCGGTGGCTTAAACTCACGCTGGGCGTGTGTCCGTGCGTGCCCAAGATCCCGAGAGGAGAATGGAGGAGAAGGGATTGCGGCGTGGCCCTCCCCTCTGGGGGGTGATTTCTCGCTTTCTGTCTCTCTGTCTCTCTCTGTCTGTCTGGCGAGCGCACGCACCCTATAGCAAAAACCTCTCCAAAAAAAAAATTATTTTCTTGGGACCAGTAGTTAGCATAATGGCTATGTTACTGGACTCCCATGTAGTCGACCGCGGTTCGAGTCCCGGATCTGGTGGCTTAAACTCACACCAGGTGTGTGTGTGTGTGTGTGTGTGTGTGTGGTACGTGCCCAAGATCCCAAGAGGAAAATGGAGGAGAAGGGATTGTGGCGTGGCCATCCCCCCCGGTGTGTGGGGGGGTGATTTCTCACTTTCTCTCTGTCTCTCTGACGAACGCACGTGCCCTATAGCAGAAACCTCTCAAAAAAAATATGTAACTTTATCCATTTATTTATTTTATTTTGACCAGAGAGTGATAATGTGAGAGGGAGAGAGAGAGAGAGAGAGAGAGCATGAGAAAGCAAGCCACCAGATCTGGGACTCGAACCGTGGTCAGCCATGTGGGAGTCCAGTGCCCTTAACCACCATGCTACCTCTGGTCCCAAAAGTTCTGCTATTTTAAAATTAAAACTTTTTTTTTTTTTTTAAGAATTTATGTAGGGGCTGGGGAACCAGCAGTTAGTGTAATGGCTATGTCGCTGGACTCCCACGTAGTTGGACCACGGTTCGCGTCCTGGACCCGGTGGCTTAAAACTCACGCCGGGTGCATGTGTGTGCATGCCCAAGATCCCAAGAGGAGAATGGAAGAGAAGGGATTGCGACGTGACCATCCCCCCTGGGGGGTGATTTCTCGCTTTCTGTCTCTGTCTGTCTGGCAAGCGCACGCGCCCTATTGCAAAAAATTTTATTTAGGGGCTGGCAGGTGGCATGGTGGTTAAGGGTGTTGTACTCCCACATGGCTGACAGTGGTTAGAGTCCCGGGCCTGGTGGCTTGCTTTTTCTCTCTCACTCCGTCCCTCTCTAGTCAAACTAAAATAATTAAATTTAAAAAGTTAAATAACATAATTATTTTTTAAAAAGAATTGTTTTATTTAACTTTATTTATTTAGATTTGACCAGAGAGGGACAAAGCAAGAGAGAGGGAGGGAGGGAGGGAAAGTGAGAAAGCAAGCCACCAGGCCAAGGACTCGAACTGCAGTCAGCCACATTGGAGTCCAGTGCCCTTAACCACCACGCTACCTTCTGGCCCCAAATTTAAAATTTTAAAAAATTTGCCAGAGGGCACTGAGTCTCACCAGAAAGAGGAGAGGGAAAAGGCACTCCCAACATGGGATGATCATATGGTCATGCCACAGCCTTTTCCCCATTTCCCTCCTTTCAGGATATTCACACACAAGAACCTGGTGTTTTTTAAGCTACTGGGCCTAGGACTTGAACTGTGGAGCTCAAGTGGATCCATGTGGGATCCAGCTCCCTTACCCACCAAGCCACAGGCTGGCCTTCAGTGTTGTGATTTTTTAGGACAAGCAGGAAGATTCGATTGTTGGTTGCTTTACTTTTATATCTGTTCCTTTTTGTTTGAGAGGTTTTTGCTACAGGGTATGTGCGCTCACCAGAGAGAGATAGAGAGACAGAAAGCGAGAAATCTCCCCCCAAGTGGGATGGCCACGCCGCAATCCCTTCTCCTCCATTCTCCTCTCGGGATCTTGGGAACACACACACACGCCTGGTGTAAGTTTAAGCCACCGGGTCCAGGACTTGAACCGTAGTCGACTACATGGGAGTTCAGCGACATAGCCATTACGCTAACTGCTGGTCCCTATATCTGTTCCTTACTAACTCTTTGTTTCTTCCATTTTCTAGTGCCGCATTAGATGTAGAATTATCTGATGATTCCTTCCCTCCTGAAGACTTTGGCATCGTTTCTGGAATGCTCAATGTCAAATGGGACCGGATCGCCCCGTATCCTCTTGGCACTGGGTGATAGGGCTGGAGGCTGGAGGCAGGGAAATGGGGTGGACAAGAACACTGCCTGCAAAGGAGCAGGGGTGCTTCAGGCAGGCTGGGCGTGCAGGGCTGTTCTCACGTCGTCTCTCTGGGTAAGGTGGGGCAAGAGAGAGTGGCGTGAACTGTGTGAGCATGAGCTGAGTAGGTGGTTTCTACGGTTCAGATGATAAGCCCTGAACAAGACTGTGTTGGGAGAACAGAGACGCATGAAGACACTTGTGGCTGGACGAGAACATTTAAGAAATGCAGCTGGGGGCTGGCCCAGGCGCACAGCTTCGGGCAGAGGACAGATCCCACATGGCTGACTGCGGTTTGAATCCCGGCCCTGGTGCATGCACGTCCAAGGTCCTGATAGAATGGAGCAATGAAGGGGAAAGGATTATAGCATGACCACTCCCCACTGGGGTGCTTTTCTTTCTCTCTGGCAAGTACATTTACCCTCTGTCAATAAAGAAGGAAGAGGGGCCAAGCGGGTGGCATGGTGGTTAAGGCGACTGGATCTCACCTGGCCAACTGCGGGGTTCAAGTCCCAGACGGAACAGCCTGAGAGACGTGCATGTGTGCCCCAAATCCTGAAACGAGAAATAGAGGAGAAGGGATTGTGGCGTGGCCACTCCCCCTCGAGGATGCCTCCTGACGTTCTCTCTCTGCTGAGTGCCTTGCCCGCTAGTAAATTTGTTTAAGTTAAGTTTTGCCATAGGGCACATGTGCTCACTAGAGAGGAGAGAGAGAGAGATACAAAGAAAGTAAGAAACCACCTGCTGGAGTCAGTGGCCACACCACAATCCCTTCTCTTCCATATTCCTCTTGGTATCTTAGGCACAGATGTGCCCAGTGTGATTTTCAAGCCCCTGAATCTAGGACTCAAACTACAGTTGACCCTGTGAGACTCCAGCTGCCTTGACCACCACACCACCTGTGGCCCTCTTTCTTTCTTTTTTTTTTTTTTGAGAGGTTTTTGCTTTAGGGTATGTGTGCTTGCCAGAAAGATAGAGACAGAGAGACAGAAAGTGAGAAATCACCCCCCGGGGGGGATGACCACACTGTAATCCCTTCTCCATTGTCCTATCTGGATCTTGGGCACGCATGCACACATGCCCGGCGTGAGTTTAAGCCACTGGGTCTAGGATTTGAACCGCAGTCATTTACATGGGACTCCAGTGACAAAGCCACTACACCAACTGCTGGTTTCCCCAAGTTTTTTGTTTTTTGTTTTTTGTTTTGTTTTTTTTTGAGAGGGTTTTTGCTATAGGGCGCATGCACTCGCCAGACAGACAGAGTGAGACAGAGAGACAGAAAGCAAGAAATCACCCCCCAGGGGTATGGCCACGCTGCAATCCCTTCTCCTCCATTCTCCTCTTGGGATCTTGGACACGCATGCACATGCGCCCGGCATGAGTTTAAGCCACCGGGTCCGGGACTTGAACCGCGGTCGACTACGTGGGAGTCCAGCGACATAACCATTACGCTAACTGCTGGTCCCTCCCAAGTTTTTTTAAAAAGAATTATTTTTATTTAACTTTATTTATTTATTTTAAATTTGACCAGAGAGGGACAGAGTGAGAGAGAGAGAGAGAGAGAGAGAGAAAGTGAGAAAGCAAGCTGCCAGCTCCAGGACTTGAACTGCAGTCACCCATGTGGGAGTCCAGTGCCCTTAACTATCATGCCACCTGCCAGCCCCACCCCCAATTAAAAAAAAAAAAACAAACAGAAAAAGAAAGAAATTCAGTGGGGTACTAGCATGGAGAGCCTGGATTTGTGTTTAGTTTTGTTTTGTTTTTTAATCTGCCAGAGAGCATATACGCTCTGCAGAGGGAGAAATAACCCCACAATAGTACGTGGTCACACTGCAGTCCCTTTTCCTCTGGGCATGCATGCACACATGCCTTGGGTACTTCTCAAACCACTGTGTTGAGGACTTAACCATGTGATTGGCCATGTGGGGTCTGGCTACTTTAACCACTAGGCCACAGGATGGCCTTTTAAAGTTTTTTTTTTTCTTTTTTTTTTTTTTTTGGGAGGGTTTTGCTACAGGGGGCGTATGCTTGCCAGAAAGACAAAGAGAGACAGAGAAACAGAAAGCGAGAAATCACCCCCCAGGGGGGATGGCCACACCACAATCCCTTCTCCTCCATTCTTCTCTCGGGATCTTGGGCACGCATGCACACGCACTTGGCGTGAGTTTTAAGCCACCAGGTCTGGGACTCGAACCATCGTTGACTACATGGGAGTTCAGCGACATAGCCATTACGCTAACTGCTGGTCCCTTAAAGTTTCTTTTTATTTAATGAGTCCCTTTCCTATGCCAGTTATTTCCTGAGTATTGAGTTAGATTTTTTTCTTTGTGAATTAAAGTATATTTAGATTTTCTGTTTAGGGTAAATATACTTATTGAATTTTCTGATTTTGTCGTTGTTTTGTTTTTGCTATCGGGTGCACGTGTTCCCTGGAGAGAGACAGATGGAGAGAAATGACACCCCCCACAGGGGATGGTCATACTGCAATTTCTTCTCCTCTAGTCTTTTCTCAGGTTTTGGACACATTCACACACACCCAGCATGATTTTCAAGCCGCTGGGTCTTGGACTCTGCAGTCGGTCATATGGGAGTCCAGTGCCTTAACCACCATGTCACTTGCTGGCCCCTGAATTTTCTGGGTTTTTTTTTTTTGGTTTATTTTTCATTTTTATTTTGTTACAGGGTGTGCATTCTAACTGGAGAGGAAGGGAGACAGAGAGAGAGTGAGAAAGCACCCCCTTAGAGAGGATGGCCTCTCTGCAATCCCTTCTTCGTGCATTTGGCACATGTTTCTAGCCACTGGGTCTGGGACTCAAACCACATGGTCAGCCTTGTAGGATCCAACCGCCTTAATCGCCACACCACTGGCTGGCCATTTTGCTTTTTTGTATTTTCAAGAACTTCCTTCAGTTATAGTCAGTGAAAGACATTGTGACCACAACTTTTCATTCATGACATATTGCTTTGAAAGATTTTCCTTAAAAACCTTGACATACAGTGTATCATGGACCCCTTAAAACTTAGCTAGAAAGACATATATATCAAAGCCTTTATCCTTTTTCTTTAAGGATTTATTTATTTTCTTATTCCTGTTACTTACGGTTTAATTTTACCAGAGAAAAACAGAGAAAGAGAAACGGAAAGTGAGAAAGCAAGCCATCGGGTCCAGGACCCGAACTGTGGTCAGCCATGTGGGAGTTCAGTGCCCTTAACCACCATGCCACCTGCCGGTCCCTGTCCTTTTTAAAAAATATTCCAGAGGGTGGGACTGGCAGGCCACATGGTGGTTAAGGGTGCTGGACTCCCACATGGCTGACTACAGTTCGAATCCCAGACGTGGTGGCTTGTTTTCTCTTTTCCTCTCTCTTTCTGTCTCTCTTTCTGGTCAAATTAAAATAAATAAATGAAGTTAAATCAAATAATTCTTCTTTTTTGAGAGGTTTTTGCTATAGGGGACGTGCGCTCGCCAGAAAAAGAGAGACAGAGAGCTAGAAACACACAAACCAGAACCCCCCCCCCCCCCCCCCAGGGGGGAAGGCCACGCCGCAAACACTTCTTCTGCATTCTCCTCTCGGGATCTTGGGCACGCACGCACAAGCCCCCGGCATGAGTTTAAGCCACCAGGTCCAGGACTTGAACCGCGGTCGGCTACATGGGAGTTCAGCGACATAGCCATTACACTAACTGCTGGTCCCAAATCAAATAATTCTTTAAAAAAAGAAAAATTCCAGAGGGTGTACGTGCTCATCAGAGAGACAGAGTGAGGGAAGCAGCACTCTTCGTCGTGATGCAATCCCTTCTGTTTCTCCCTCCTTTTATAATCTTGGGCACGCATGCACACTTTTCCAGTTGGTTTTCAAGCCACTGGTGCCAGACTTTGAACCGTGGTCAACCATGTGGGATCTTGTTCCCTTAACAACTAGGCTATGGGGCCAGCCCTAGGCTTTTTTTTCCCTAAAGGTCTATATTCTTATTTATTCATTTCTTTTAGAGGTTTTTGCCTTACGGTATGGGTATGTGTGCTTGCCAGGGAGAGAGAGCGAGACAGTGAGAAGGAAAGGAAAAATAAGAAATTACCCCCGTTGGGAGTGGCCACACCACAATCCCTTCTCCGGGAATCTTGGGCAGTCATGCATGGTACGTGCCCAGTGTGATTTTCAAGCCACCAGTTCTGGGACTCGAACCACGGTCGGCCATATGGGAATCCAGCAATGTAACCACTGCACCATCTGCCGGCTCCAAGGTCTCTATTTTTTTCGGTCCTGCAGAGTGTAGCAGGTATGAAGTCACCACACACATTAGCAGCTGTTTTGTGAATGGTGCACTTAGTCCACAGGTTGAGATGACAACCTCAGTATCCTCTTTGTCCCTTCCTTAACTTCTTCTGGGCCAGCGCTAGCAATGTCTCGCACACTGTGGTCCTGCGCCCTCTCAAGGCTGGTTATTTCAACTTCACCTCCGCGACGATTACTTACCTGGCCCAGGAGGATGGGCCCGTTGTGGTGAGTTGTCCAAACCCTTGGCTGGATGGAGCATGAATCTGCCTTCTCTTACAAACTTTTGTAGAAAATTTTCACAGTAGCTGCTAAATTCTGAGGGAGATAAGGTCGACGAGAAACTTGGTGGTGTCCTGAAGTACGTTTCCAATAGTCAAGGCCAGAGTAGAGCAATTGAATGGGAGGGGAGGGCCATGGCATTCCCTTTCCCTGCATTCCTCTGCTTCCCTTTCTGTCGGGACGCGGTATTTGTTGTCCATTTTATTAGCATCTTAGCCGTTGTGTTTCTGAAAAAGAAAGGGGCCAGCAGGTGGCAAGGTGGTTGGAGCGCTGACATTCCCATGTGGCTGACCGTAATTCAAATCCCAGACCTGTTCTCACTTTCCCCCTCTCTCTGTGTGTCTCTCTCTGGTCAAATTAAAATAAATGAATGAATAAATAAAAATGAAATAAATGGGGCCAGCAGGTGGCATGGTGGTTAAAGGTACTGGACTCCCATGTGGCTGACCGCAGTTTGAGTACTGGACCTGGTGGCTTGCTTTCTCACTTTCTCTCTCTCTCTTTCTCTCTCTCACTCTCACTCTGTCCCTCTCTGGTCAAATAAATAAATAAATAAAGTTAAATAAAATACTTCTTTAAAAAATAAATGATTCCTTAACCAAAAAAAAGATCAAAACATTTTTTATTGGGATCAGCAGTTAGCGTAATGGCTATGTTGCTGGACTCCCACAAGGCTGACCACAGTTTGAGTCCCAGACCTGGACTTGCTTGCTTTCTTCCTTTCCCTTTCTATCTCTGGTGAACAAATTAAAATAATAATAAAAAAAAAATTTTTTTTTTATTATTATTTTAATTTGTTCACCAGAGATAGAAAGGGAAAGGAAGAAAGCAAGCAAGTCCAGGTCTGGGACTCAAACTGTGGTCAGCCTTGTGGGAGTCCAGCACC